AATATGTATTGAACAAACATACATGTTGCATATGACCCATGTTCACCATGGGATGGGAAATTAACGTATCAATATATTACAATTAGGCCTTTTACATCAAAAGGTCTCTTTTAGGACACAAAAGCACTCAAGTGTGCAGCCTCTATAAAGCTAGACAGCGCCAGTCCAAGGTCAGTGGTCTTTGTATCAGGGGAAAGTTACTAAAGTCAGTCTCTTTTGCCAGTCCAAGTGTGGTTGGCTATGGAACAGGGAGCAAGGCTCAGCATCTGTCAGTGGACTAAAACTATTTAATGTTGCTCATATGGAGGCCAGTGCTTACTTAGCTGCTATAGAAAAAGAAAACCTGGTGGCAGTTAGAACATAGCTGATTCTTTAAGTGCAGGGGCGTGTGACTTAACCTTGGTCTTATGTTCTAGGCTCTGTTTTATACCTGGTATCTTATTACCATGTAGAGTCCATTCTGTCAGTCTTATGACTCTATTTTAACATTAATAAGCTTCTCAGTTGTCATGTCTAAACCCTAAAAGTAGGAGTATAATGAGTGTCTGACCTCTCAGACCATCATGTCTGGAAACTCAGATTTTAAGGTCCCTTGGCCAAGAGAGGGTTCATTCAGTCAGTTGGGGACTTCAAATTTTATTTTAGTGTATAGTATCAAAAATATTATTTCCCAGGAAGGCACAAATAGATATGGCAGCTATTCACAAACTGGAGGGGTGGGATTGAGCACACACACCGAGCCCACACAGCAGCCCAGGGTGGCCATGAAAAGCCTGTGAGCACCTGCAGAGGGTGGCTGATTACCAGAACTATAAGTTTCCTCCAGCCATACATGCTGTCTGTCCAGAGGTGGCTCAAATATTGGAAAGGCTGTCTACTTATTTAGGTAGAAGGCATAGTGTCCTAGATTTAGCAAATGCTTTCTGCAGCATACCCTTAAACCAACAGGTATGTGTGACATACCACTGTAGTCCAGCTACTCAGGAGGCTGAGGAAGGAGGATCACTTGATCCCAGGAGTCGGATGTTGCTGTGAGCTAGGCTGACAACATGGCACTCTAGTGTCGGCAACACAGTGAGACTCTGTCTCAAAAAAATAAACTCTGAAATAAAAGAATAATACAAAAAAATTCATGATAAATAAATAAATAATAATATCCATATGCAAGATAAAAAGCAGGCAGAAGAACTATCCCAAATGTCTAAGATGCTCTAATGAGCAGACAAGGATTTAAAAGCAGGCATTATATTGGCTGGGCGCTGTGGCTCACACCTGTAATCTAGCTCTTGGAGGTCGAGGGGCGGATTGCTCAAGGTCAGGAGTTCAAACCAGCCTGAGCAAAGAGCGAGACCGTCTCTACTATAAATAGAAAGAAATTAATTGGCCAACTGATATATATATAAAAAAAATTAGCCGGGCATGGTGGCGCATGCCTGTAGTCCCAGCTACCTGGGAGGCTGAGGCAGAAGGATCACTGGAGCCCAGGAGTTTGAGGTTGCTGTGAGCTAGGCTGACGCCATGGCACTCACTCTAGCCTGGGCAACAAAGCGAGACTCTGTCTCAAAAAAAAAAAAAAAAAAGCAGGCATTATAAATATATTCATAGGTGTAAAAGAAAATATTCTAATGAGTGAACAGATGGAAACCTCAGTAGAGAACTGGAGATTATTTAAAAGTCCAAATAAAAAGATAGTAAAAGAAAAAAAATATTTTTCAGCTTATCCACAGATTAAACAAATTAGACAAAGCAATAGATATTATCCTATCTAAGGAAAAGTGTTTAAGAAAGGTTGAAAAAATGAACAGAGCCTTAGAGATCTGTAGAATAATTGAGTCTGAGAAGGAGATGGGAAAGACAGAAAATTTAAATGAAGTACAAAAGTACATCAACACCACTAGCTGAAAACTTCTAAAAATTGTTTAACATCTAAATATTTATATCCTAAGGGTCAACAACCTTCAAGAAAATACAAATAATACCATAAAAAGGCCATTCTGTCATTTAGAAAACAGGCTTTCCTTGCTTTTGTGTTGTTGTTGTTGTTGTTGTTGAGATAGGGTTTCACTCTGCTGCTCAGGCTGAAGTGAAGTGGTACACTCATACTCACTGCAGCCTGGAAATCCTGGGTTCAAGCGATTCTCCCGACTCATTCTCCCAAGTAACTAGGAGTCCAGATGCACGCTCGGCAGAGTTTCAGTTAACTTGCTATGAGTTCTAATTATTACTAATTTTAGTAATAGAAAATTTTATCTTTAGAGCTTCTTTTATTTTTAATTTTTATTCCTCATACAAACTCTGACATGTCAGACATGTGTTACTGAGAGTTATTTAAGCCAGATTATTTTCAAGCCTTGTTTCCCAGTTTAATTTCTTACCTTGGAAATCACTCAATTTGTGTCTTTCCAATCTAGAAGTAAAATTGATGCTCCAGACATGTGTACCATGGATATTCTGCTCTTGTGGAGACTTCCTGCACAGAATTGACATTGTGCCTACTCCAGTTTCAGAAGTGTGTAGTAGTATAGAACTTAATCTGAAAAACTAAATGGAAAAATGAATTAAGAAAATTGACCGGGCAGTGTTTCACTCCTGTAATCCTAGAACTCTGGGAGGCTGAGGCGGGAGGATTGATTTAGGTCAGGAGTTGGAAACTAGCCTGAGCAAGAGTGAGACCCGGTCTCTACTAAAAATAGAAAACTAAGGTGTGCGTGGTGGCCTGTGCCTATAATCCTAGCTACTCAGGAGACTGAGGCAAGAGAATTGCTGAGCCCAAGAGTATGAGGTTGTTGTGAGCTAGGCTGACGCTAGGGCACTCTAACCCAGGTGACAGAGCAAGATTTAAAAAAAATAAAAGAATTGCTGTGGCCCATTTGCAGGACAGAGGATGAACATAGAACACAAAAAGACACACAGACACACAAAAAGTCCGTTACAAGACTGCAGTGCTGAATGCACCAGTCATTTTATTTTTATACCCCCAAAAATCAAAGTTACTTTCTTGTACATGACCAACCAGGCCTTGTAGCAATGGCCATACATTCCAGAACACGTAGTCTAAGGACACAGATGTCCCCTGACTGTAGTTTTCCAGGCAGTTGCTCAAGGCGCCAGGCATAGATCACAGACCAAGATTAGCAAGGTTGGGGAAGGCAGCCACAGGGGGCATTTTTTGCCCCTAGTTCCTCTTAGGTCGATCCCCTGCAGCTGTGCCTGTCTTAGGTCGCCCCTTCCTTGAGGGGACTTACCCATCATTGACTAACCAGCCATCTTATGGGGCTAAGCAGCAATCACAGGAACAATGTGTTTATTGTGTGGCCTCCAGGTATCCACTTATTATAGTGCTGGGCAGTTCTTGCCTCAATGCAGAAACTCGGGTCTATAGTTATGCCTCCAGGCAGCAACCTCGTTTGTCACAAGGACCTTGTCTGGAACACATTACTTTCAAATGCTCTGGGCAGAGCATGTACATTATTCACTGAATTTATTTCTTAAACCAGGAAAGTATAATGTCAGTCCCCAACATGAATTAAGCAAATTAACACTCTAAAGTTCCAATAGCAAATTATTAAAAATGGTTCCAAACAATATTTAATAGGGAATATCAAAAGAGTTTCCATGGGAGCATAAGTCAGAAGAGAAATGTAGACATTGTATATTACATCTGTATGTAAAGTTTCTTAATATTTTGGGAAGGACCAAGATGCACTTTGGGTCCTTTTGGCCTGTGTCAATTATGGCCCAGAGGCCCAGAGTAGGAAACCCAAGTCCTGGGAACCAGCCTCAGTGGGGGTCAGACAAGTGGTGCATGTGGCCCCAAAGCAGCTTAGGGGGTCCTTCCTTGAGTCTCCTAACTGTATGAAGCAGGGATCAGACCTTTCCCCTGTGTTTTCTCCTCTTTATAACAGACACAGGGGTGTCACTTGGAGAGACCTGACTCAGGTGTGGGTCATGCAGCTAACCCAGGGGTCCAATAGGTGCAGAGGTGGATCTGAGACACCCCAGAAGGATCGAGAAAATGGTGGCTTTGAAAAGGCAACTACCAGATTATCAAGAACTAGGTATTATCATTTTAGCAGTGAACTGGCATTTCTGACACTTTCCAGGGAGTTTTCTGTCTGGGTTCCCAAAAAGCCTGAGAACTACCAGGGCCATGGGCAGTTAGCCCCCTTCCTAAGGAGGACAGTTTTGTTCATGTCCAAATGGAAATGGAGGAGAAGGAGGAGAGGGAAAGAGTGGTGCTGAGAGAAGGGGAATATGGCAAGGGTGGAAAGAAGTGTAGGTGGAGGGCAGAAGCAATGGGCTGGGAGGGCAAGCATAACAATGGAAACCTTGAGCAAAGTTGAGACGCCCTGTGCCCTTGCTGGTTTGTGAAGAATCAAACTTCAGGAAAGCCAAGTCAGAAGCTGGCAGCTACTGGAGAGGCAGTGTCACAATTAAACAGAGAGATGATCATCCTGATCAGGCTAGCTTCTGGCAGTCAAGAGAGGTTTCTGCAAAGCTGTGCCCAAGGCAAGCTGAAGAAACTGGTATGAGCACCCAAGTAGGCCAGGCAGAAGGGACATTCACAGAGCACACTGGGAAGTGTAGTCCATTAACTCTCCAAGCCTGTTGGTCTCAAAGCTATGGGACTACAATCCCAGCATTTATCGACATGAGAGGAGGTCCACAGTACTGGAAGGGAGGGAAGAATGGTGGCCTCACCAGGCATGCTAGGAGTAGTAGTTTCTACACCACCACCAGACCCTGTTTGTCTCAAGGTTGCAGTACTACAATCCCAGAATGCATTGGGATTGAGGGCAGTGCTTGCTCCTGTAGGGAGGGGTAAGATGGAGCACTCCCTGCAAGGCATGCTGGGAGGTATAGTCTCTTAGGGACTTCGAGCCCATTGTTTGCAGAGCTGCAGGATACAATCCCAGCATGCATCAAGCTCTAGGGCAGTGTGCCAAAATGGCAGGAAATGCAAGGAGGTGCTTGCCTCGCGTGGCATTCTGGGAGTTGTAGTCTCTTGTTTACTCTCAGCCCATTGTTCCCGGGGCTGCAGGACTACATTCTCAGGGTGTGCAGAGGTAGGAGTCGCTGCAGCTGGAGAGGCAGGGGCAGGACAGTGAGCTCTTTAAATTTTCAAAGCGCTGCTGGCTGCTAGAGGTTCCCTGCCACAGTCTGGGGATGGAAGTCAGTCTGGAGAGGGTCAGGTGGGGCAGGTCCTGGCGGGACAGTAAGGACAGTGTGAGGCTGCAAAGAACGCCTAGCATTTGTCTTAATATGATGGGTCTCCCCCTTGGTCAACCTCATGCTGTGCAGAATGATTTCCTTTCCCACCTGCACCCAGGGGTCTTTCCACAGCATCCATCTCCTCCAGCCCGTGGAGCTGCCTGCTTTCCCAAACTACTATAGGCACTAGCCTTAGAGCCCAGACATCATCCACTGTGCTGCTGCCCCTGCTTTCTCCAGATAGAGTGCATGTTTGGCCCCTGTTGGAGAAATTCTCTGCGTGGCTCATTTTTGAACAACTTCAGAGCTTTGCAGGTGGTGACATGGACTGTGGCTTCATGGAAATGTCACCTTCGCTGGCTCCATTTTTTAGTTAATATGGACGTTTAGTCATGAGGGAGCATAATTATTGGGTTACCCAGGATTTGCTAAGAGCAGAGGAGAATACAGTTCCCAGGCATGAGTTTGTGGTTGATTTCCACCAATCCGTTTAAGTGGACGGACTTTCAAAAATTCACCTGAAGGTGATGATTGTTTAGGCATTTGACACTTGAAATTGTAAGCCCATCTCCACTGAGGCCTGAGAGGCCAATGTCTTAGAGTTGCAGATGGTGACCTATTCCCTCAGAACACATGGTGTTCCAGCTTTGGGGAGTGAGTTTTCAGGTATAGAGCCCTTGCAGCTTTTTTGAAACCTGCCAGGCTTAACATCTCTGCCTTTTGTGAAAAGCTCAGAATTTACTTTAACTCCTGGGGTTGGTCTGTTGATTTTTTTTTTTTTTTTGTCTAGACAGAGGAAACCTCCAGGAGGATTTTTATTTCTATGTAGCCTCTTAATAATTGATGTCTCCAAATTCCTTATGCCCTCATTAATGGTTCCTTCGATTCCTGGATGAAGACACATGAGCGTCACCCAAATGAGAAGGAGGAGTGTTTATTGACAGCTTGCTATATATAATAAGAGCATGGACTCCACCACCACAAACCTCTAACACCACCATTTGTTTGCCTCTGTCAGGGACTTGAAGGCAGGCAGAGGAGAGGGTGAGCTGTGTGGGGGAAGAAGGGAAAGGAGAGTCTTGTTGTGAGGATGTTGCCTGCTTGAGAAAGGAGGCAAGGGCAGACAACCGATGACCACTCTATGTGCCGGTTGAGTGGGGACATGATTGGCTCTCCTTTCCCCACCAGTTCTATGTTAGAAGCCACAAAAAGAACTAGAGGAAGCCAGTGGCTAATGCCTGTAATCTCAGCACTTGGGAGGTTGAAGCAAAAAGATAACTTGATACCCAGTCTACAATGGGGTATGGTTGTGCCACTGCACTCCAGCCTGGGTGACAGAGCAAGACCCTGTCTCTACAAAAAAAGAAGAAGAAAAAGAAGAAGAAAATGAGGAAAACTGTCAGTGCAGTCCTGCCTATTTGGACACAATGGCAAAGAGGTGTGGGGACTCAGGCTCTCTGGGGTGGTTGCTGCAAAGGCGCTGGGTCGTGGCCTTGCCAGGCTCAGATGCACGAAATCCCAGGGCTCTTAATCCCTCCTGAATGATCTTCAGTTGAACCAACAGGTTTTACAGATAAAGTTTATTCAGTGTCTTTGTAGCAACTCTAGTTATGCTAAAATTGTAATAACTATTATTTTTATATTTCTGATAATAATTATTACTACTAGTACCACTAGTAAAAATCTCAGGAATAGTTCCTACACCGAACCAGTCACCCCCAAGGTCCCACACCCCATCAAGCACCGAGGATCCATCTCAGTTGTCACTTTCCAGCTGTCATCACCTGCCACAGCCCTACCACCTGCTCCTTCACCCCCATTGTACCAAGTCCCTAAAGCTGGAACTTTAGGGGCACTGGTGGTTTCTCACATTGTGATACACCCTGAGCTTGCAAGTTCTTACACAAGGATGACATTCAACTCTGCCATGGTCACTGGTTTGGCAGACTTGAAGGCCTGGGCCACCTGTTGTTGATGTTCCTGAGACAGAAATGGGATGACTTGTGCACAAGTCACATTCAATTTCTTGGTGATTTCAGCCTGTTTGTGCATTTCAGTGTTTAATCCATATGACATTTCATAGTACATCACATAGTGCCTCCCAATTTCTGTGTTTTCACTTACCAGTTTCTCACATTCTATTTGAAGGTGGTGATACTGCACCTGCAGGAACTGGAATGTCTCCTTAATCTGGTCCAGGGGCTCCAGGATAGTGAGCTTGAAGTGCTGCCCTGAAGCTTGGTGTCTGGTGTCAATGGAAAAGAAGCAAAATTCTGTCAAATAATTTAAAGAGGTTTATTGTGAGCCAAATTTCAGACCATGGCCCAAGCAATGCCCAAGAAGCCTTGAGAAAGTGGACTGGCCATGGTTGGGTTACACTTCCATTTTATTCATTTCAGGAAGACAAGGATTAAAGGTAAATCATATATCAATATGTGGAAGGCATACATTTGCTTGGCATGAAAAGGTGGGACATCTCCAAGGAGGGGTGGTTACACGTTATAGGTTTGTTTAAAGACTCTTTGACTTGTAATTGGCTAAAGAAATGAAGTTTCCTATAAAGGCTTGGAATGTTTTAAGTGAAGTTAAGGAAGTGTGCTATTCAGAGACAAGCTACCTATTTGTTGTATAATTTGAGGATCTGCAGGTTTGTCTTACATAGCCTTAGGCCTGATAATGAGTAACAAAGGATCTCTCCAAGAAGGGAGGGGGCCATGATAAGGCACCTCTGACCTCCCCTCTCATGGCTAGTAACTGAAGTTTAGGTTATCCGCTTTGCCGAGAGGGGGTCGATTCTGTTAGCCTGTGTGGGGAAGCCTTAAGATTTTATTTTAGTTCACACTCCCCATGTCTGCTTGGCTCCCGTCTTGGGTGAACAAATCAGGGCAGGTTGTTCCGCTTTGCTCTTCTCTGGGTCCACTTCCTCTCTAGGTTTTTGCTGTGGTAGCCCAGGCTAACCAGATAAACAAAGCGGGCACTTTTGGGGGAATTCTGCAGGTCATGGCTTCACCTTCCCCCAAGTGTTGGTTGACTCCCTGGAGGCAGTTGGAAGCAAGGGTGAGACCACCATTTAGGTTCCAGCCAGGGATCGAGGGATAAGGTGGGGGGGGAGGAATACACACTGGGAAGCAGCTTGGTAGGCCTCCTGTGACCAGTGCTTTGTTTTCCCCACAGTTGCACAAACTATCTGGACAAAACAGGGCTGCTCCACAGAGGACAATCCTGCAGGCACCCTCTTTTCCTCTGGCCTAGGGCATGTCATGGCTCCCTGCCCAGCATGCATGCACCTGGAACTGCAGGCCTGGCCATTCAGGACCCCTCCTCCAAGCTACATTCTTTCTTGGTCTCTTTTTTTCCTTCCTCTGAGTCTTTGAAAAGGGCACTCCAGCCCACTATAGAGTTCTCTCGGTACTTCCGTGCCTGCAGGCTTCTGGTCACCAGGGACACCTAAGCTCACAGTAGGTAGCATGGGTCCCACCCCACATTGCTGCTTGGGGCTGGCCCAATCACTTCCTGGAGGATGTGGGTCACAGGTAACCCACTGATGCTGTGATTCCTGCTCTTGCAGCCCTGGCTCCCACAGGCTTCTAGTGCTGGTTGTATTAACACCCAGATGCATACTTTGTTACCTACTTAACTAGTGCCCTCCCTGCTCTGCCCTGCAAGGGATGAGGACATCAGCCAGAAGCCAGACAATAGCCTGTATAATTCACAATAACTCATCAGTACAGTGTAAGGATGCAATGAAAGAGTATAATATAAAGTAAATTTTTAAAAATCAAAATACAATTACTCTTGATCAAGGAGTGGTTTTCTTTAAAAAAAAAATACAATTACTCAATAAAAAAATATAATGGGAAATGTGCAGTCTATATAAACAAAATAATAAAGCATTTCTGAAATATATGAATGAAGATTTAAAGAAATGGAGAGTCATATCTTGTTGTTGGATAGAAACTAAAGTAGATAGACTAAAGATGGCTCCTGTAAGTCTAAAATGGAGTCAGTCTTGCTCTAACTATTAGTAAAAGTTCAGAAAGGTCCCAGAGGAGGGAGAAGGGAGTGGAGGAGGCCTGTTCTCAAAAAGAATAGAGAGGTCCTGTTCCAGGAAAAGTTCCTTGTCCCTCAATGTACCTTTCCATTGTTCACTTGATTAATGACTAACCGCAAAGTTCTGGTTCTGTGATTGCTTGCTTGCATAGCTGCCAGCCCCTAAGTTATAAGAAAACCACAAAGGTTTTGTTCATGGCTGCTTCTCCCTCCTTTCATGGAGGGGTGACAGCCCCTGTGCAGGTATCAATAAACTAATTTGGCTGATTGGATTCTGGTGTCTGAATCCCCTTGATCCACTGGTTACAACATTTGGAGGCCTCAGCGAGATCAACTGCTGAGCAGACCCAGATCGGAGGAGTCTTGGCTCCTCCTGGGCAAATTCTATCGGGGCAGGCCCTAGTCGCTGCAGGGGAGGCCACGGAGAGACGTTCCTCCGCCCCGCTGTAAACTGGGGACCCCATTGATCAGTGGAGCCGGGACAAGGGACGTCTCTTGGTGAGTAGGTGTCTGTATAGAGTTTTCTGGGGGCTGGACCCACTGGACACAGCACTAGGGCCACCTCTGGTATCTTTGTGAGACATCAGTAGGGGGATACCCAGGTCAGGATAAGATAGTGGATATCCCAGGGTGTTGGGGAGAGGAATAGTTTAACCTCTGTATGCATGTGTGAGTGAAAGCAACTTGGTGACTGCTTGCAGCCACTGAGTCTGTGGCCCCATGGCTTTGGCTACAGGGTCTGAGTGGGTCCTAACCTGCGGTTCTGTGGTGGCAGCATACGGCATAACAGTGTTGCACTCCCCGTGATAGGGAGTGACCGGGCCGGGCTTTGTATGGGTTTGCATTAGCCTAGATGCACCTAAGTTCCCACAAGGGACACAGCCAGGTGGACACCTGAAAGAAAAAACTCCCCCTCCTTTGTCTGTCTTGTGGCTCCATTCAAGTTGGGAAAGGGAGGGACAACAACATAAACGGGGGGGGGGGGGGTCTCCCCCAGGGGCCGGACTGTGTTGTTTTTACTGTGAGAAAAAGAAAAAGTGGTTGGGAGCCTCCGGGCCGGAGCCACCTAAACATATGACAAATCCACCACCATCTTCTCCTTTGCTGACCCGGACAGGACTTTGGGACTCCCCTCTCTGTGGGTCCTGGTGGATCCCTTCCTAGAACTAACTTCTAAATTCTCTCCCACTTTCGCTGGCCTTTTCACTTTCAGGATGGGACAGGGTCCATTGGCTCAGAAAACCCCCTTGGGGCCAGGCACGGTGGCTCACACCTGTAATCCCAGCACTCTGGGAGGCCGAGGCGAGTGGATTGCTCGAGGTCAGGAGTTTGAAACCAGCCTGAGCAAGAGTGAGACCCCATCTCTACCATAAATAGAAAGAAATTAATTTGCCAACAAATATATATAGAAAAAATTAGCCAGGCATGGTGGCGCATGGCTGTAGTCCCAGCTGCTTGGGAGGCTGAGGCAGGAGGATTAGCTTGAGCCCAGGAGTTTGAGGTTGCTGTGAGCTAGGCTGACACCACGGCACTCACTCTAGCCTAGGCAACAAAGTGAGACTCTGTCTCAAAAAAAAAGAAAGGAAGAAAGAAAGGAAGAAAGGAAGAAAGGAAGAAAGAAAGAAAGAAAGAAAGAAAGAAAGAAAGAAAGAAAGAAAGAAAGAAAGAAAGAAAGAAAGAAAGAAAACCCCCTTGGGTTGTCTCCTGAAAAACTTCTCCGACTTTTCCAGGCGAGCCAGGGATTATGGTGTCGGGGCAACACCCCACCATTAGGATTTTATGTGAATTAGAGTGGCCTTCTTTTAGCACTCACTGGCCACCAGAGGGCTTCTTCAACTTATTGGGTGGTCTACAGTAACCCAGGTCACGCAGACCTACTTCCTTATATCGATGTCTGGATTGACATAGCTACTGAAAGATCCCAATACCTAACCAAGTGTGTTGACATCAAACCCTCTCAAGTCTTATTGGCAGGCACTTCCAACCAGACCCCAGGGAGCAAGCCTAGAACATCTCCGTTCCCTGATAAGTCTCTAAAGATGTGGTGGGATCCCCTTCCCCCAGCTGAAACCGGTCCCCTGGTCTTCCAATCACAGAGTGAAGACCCCCTGTGTGATCCATGGTGACCTCTGCCTTATGCTCCCTCTGAGGCCACACAAGATAGGGGAGATGAGCAGGATGGGAGAGGGGGGTGGGCCCTAGAATTAGTTAGGGGACAAGAGACTCAGGGTGAGAGAGAAGCAACCCCTGAACCACCCTATAGCCCAACAAAAACACATGGATGGGGACACTGACCCCCTTTGCCAGACACATCAGGGGACTCCAGGCTATCTTACCACTGCGCCAGATGGCCCCTCTGCCCGGGAGTGACTGCCCTTTTATGATTTATGACCCATTCTTGACCAGTGATTTGTATAACTGGAAAGCCCCAAACCCTCCATTTTCTGAGAAACCACAGGGTCTCATTTCCCTCTTGGAAATGGTGTTTCACACCCACCAACCCACATGAGACGACTGCCAGCAGCTCCTCCAGGTTTTCCTCACATCCGAAGAATGCGAGCGCATAAACTGGGAGGTGACAAAAGCTGTTCTTGGCCCAGATGGGCATCCGGCATCCGATGCAGACTTCATAGACACTCACTTCCCCAACCATAGACCAGACTGGGACCCTAACACTGATCAAGATAGGGGGTCGCTGACCCAATATCACCAAACTCTGTTGCTGGGCCTCTGTGGAGCAGCCAGGAAGCTCACAAATATGTCTAAGGTTAGTGAATTGGCTCAGGGAAATGGGGAAAGTCCGGCCACCTTCTTAGAGCAATTGTTCAAGTCGTACCAGACTTGACCCGGAGGCCCCTAAAAACCATAGAGCTATTAATGTTGCCTTTGTGTCCCAGTCGCCCCAGACATCAGGAGGAAGTTGAAAAAATTAGATGGATTTGAAGGTAAAAATCTCAGTGAGTTAGTGGAAATAGCTCAAGTGTTCTTAAATAACCAGGACTCAGCTGAGGTAGCAGCCTCTAAAAAGATAGCAAGAGTTGTCATTGCTGCACTGCAGGAAACTAGGCCACCCTGAAGACAGGGAAGCCCCGCTCTAGGAAGCTGCAAAACTCCCCCAGGAGGACACTCCCGTAGAGGAAAAACGTTAGCCCCCGACCAATGTGCAGTCTGGAAGCAATTCGGGCATTGGAAAAACGAGTCCCCGAGCAGGGGGAGGCCCAAAGAGAGGCCTGCCCAGGTCCTCCTGGAAAGTGCCCAATGAAGAGGTCAGGGCTCCTACCCTCTTGGCCCCTGGAAGCCCATGATAACCTTCAAGGTAGGGGGCCAGCCTGCAGACTTTTTAGTTGACACGGGAGCTACTTTCTCCGTCCTAAAAGAGGCTGTGGGACCGCTAACCACAACCAAGACTCCCACAGAGGGGGCAATGGGGCAGCCCAAGATGTATCCATGGACTACTGCCAGGCCCACAGATTTAGGAAAAGGGGTCATCACACACTCCTTTCTAGTTATGCCAGACTGCCCATACCCACTGCTTGGGAGAGATCTGCTAGAAAGTTGCATGCCACCATCTCCTTCAGTTCAGAAGTAATCACTCTGTCTCTTCCTGAGACCCCATTGTCCGAGGAATATGTCCTCTTTGAAGAGGAAGCCTCAGAGGCTTCAGGAAGCTCTGCCTTGTTGGCACAATGGAGGACTCAAGTCCTAGGTGTATGGGCTAAAACAAATCCCCCAGGCTTAGAAAAGCACTAACCACCCATAGTAGTGCAACTCTGTAGTACAGCAAGCCCAGTGTGAGTACGCCAGTACTCTATTTCTTTGGACACCCAACAAGGCATAGCGGTGCACATCAAGCACCTGAGGGATGCAGGGATATTAATCCCCTGTCAGTCGGCCTGGAAAACCCCACTGTTACCAGTTAAAAAGCCTGGAACTAATGACTATTGACCAGTACAGGACCTGAGGGAGGTAAACCAGAGATTGGAAACTATCCACTCCACGGTACCCAACCCCTACAATCTGCTGAGCCTCATTCCCTTTGACCTGGTGGTCTACACCGTCTTAGACTTCAAAGATGATTTCTTCTCCTTGCTTCTCTCCCCACTGAATCAGCCAATTTTTGCATTCGAATGGACAGACCCAGAAGGAGGTTATTCAGGACAGTTAACCTGTACACGCCTTCCCCATGTGTTCAAAAACTCACCAACCCTCTTTGATGAGGCCTTATGTAAGGATCTACAGGGGTACCGGGAAAGACACCCCGAGGTCACTTTGCTACAGTATGTCGATGACCTGCTGATAGCTACTGAAACTGAGGAGGAATGCCAACACGCCTCCCTGAATCTCCTGCAAGAGTTACAAAGGTAGGGCTATAGAGTTTCAGCAAAAAAGGCTCAACTCTGCACCCAGATGGCAACGTACCTGGGATATGATTTGACTGGGGGTCATCGAGCCCTCTCTCAGAGCAGAATCTGAGCCATATTGCAGATACCTGTACCCACCACCAAAAGGCAAGTCAGAGAGTTCTTAGGGGCGGTGGGATATTGCCATCTGTGGATTCCAGGGTTTGCAGACTTAGCCAAGCCCCTATACTCCAGCACTGGGGGCAAGGACCCATCCTTGGTGTGGACAGAAAAAGAACAACAAGCCTTCGAGGCCCTAAAAGCAGCTCTCACTGCTGCACCAGCTCTGGCACTACCGAACATCACAAAGCCATTCCAGCTGTTTGTGTCTGAGGCCCCGGGAATAG